AGACAGAAATATTTACAGGATTTATATGCTTTATGCAAATGAAGGCCATTCCTTGATTTACTTTGCGTGATTCGTAACAGCTAATACTTTGTGAGTCCCAACTGTGTCCCAGGCACTGTGTGAATAGCACTTTACTTACACCTTCTCCACTAAGCCCCCAACAACAACTCGGAAGGGGAGGTATTGGAAAGTTACCTAAACTGCCTAAGGAAGCTCATACAGCTGGGACATCGATCCAGGTCTGGCTCAGAGGCCTGTTCCTTAACCACTCTGACCTATCCCTGCCCTACTCCTGCCCTTTGGCTTATAACCTCCACTCCCACAAATCTGTCACCTACTAACAGCCAAATGTGCTCATTGAGCTTTCAGGGGAGCTGCTGCCTGGAGTAGGGCAGGGATCGTCACACGCATGGTGTGGTGACCGACATTCTTTAAAAAGTGAAATTCCTGGGACTTCCCTGGTGGTCCAGTGGGTAAGCTCCGCACTCCCAATGCAGGGGACGCAAGTTCAATCCCTGGTCAGGGAACTAGATTCCGCATGCATGCCGCAACTAAAGATCCGGCACAGCCAAAATAAATAAATAAATGTGTGGGTTTTTTCTTTAAGTGAAATCCTTGGGGAGCTAGACAGTCTTGGATTAAGTGCTGTTAAGGACAGGCACACCCGACAAAACAGAATTATCAATCAGATTCAATGCCACTCTAAAAATAAAATCTGGACAGTTGGGGGACTCCAGACTGTTTCAAAGAGCTCTTCATTTAATCTGTAGATAAACCTGAAAGAAGAATGTTTCTGTTCCCTGACTCCCCTGCAAGCTTCTGTCCTTGTTCATTCTCTTATTACTCCTCAACTTCCAATTAGAAAAGACTAGATCGTTCCCTCTACTGCCTCATTAGCTATCGCTGCGATGTGGCTTCTGCCTCTGCCCTCCTCCTGGAAATGCTCTCATAAAGGTTAGCAATGATAACAAACCATTATTATAATAACACCCGGTGCTTCTTGTGGCTTTACTGGGAGCCAAACACCAGGCTCAGAGCTTTATTTACGTTGGAAGGAGAAACCTGGAGAACCCTAGGGCTGTATGGAACTTGCGAGTCACTACTGAAAGATGAGTATATTTTAGACAAAAATCTGTATTTTTGAGCAGTGTTGTCCAGTTTGCTACAGTCCTCTCGGTGAATACATGTGCACTTGGACCTACCCCACCTCTCTCACTTATGTCACCTGCCTGACCCCTATAGGGAGAGGATTTACTACCTGCTCTTTACACAGATATTCTGGCCGGGATTGTGTAGCTGCCAGGAAAAGAGATGTTATACACCTTAAATTTACACACTGTTATATATCAATTATATGTCAATAAAACTAAGGAAAAAATCCACTCTTGCCAGATGTTCTATCACGACTTGTAAAAGGGATCGATTTCTAGGCAATGCAGGAGCAGCCTCCATGATGCCTAATGACCTACTCCATTTTCTGAGTTCTGTCTTAAGTTTCAGCCACCTGCTCTATCTGCAGACTTGACTTGTCAGATCAGCTCGGAATCCTCTCTGTGCTGTGATACCCTGGTGGTGATCTTGGACTCTTAGCTTATGTTCCAGATTGCTTTCTACTCTCTGTCACTCTCTGGGTCCCAACTCTGTACTGGCTACTGTGGGTTCCTGCACTGCTAACACTTTGTCCTGAATACAAGCTTTAAGGATAAACCTCTTCACCGAGGGTCCAAAAAATAGAGCTAACTATGACCAGAGTAATCTTCTCAAAGTACAGTTCTTTTTTTTTTTTTAAAGACTTGGTTTTAACAAATTTGTTTAAAATAATTTTTTTTTGTGGCTGTGTTGGGTCTTCCTGGCAGTGCGCGGGCCTCTCACTGTGGTGGCTTCTCTTGTTGCCAAGCACAGGCTCTAGGTGCACGGGCTTCAGTAATTGTGGCATGAGGGCTTCAGTAGTTGTGGCTCACAGGCTCTAGAGCACAGGCTCAGTAGTTGTGGCGCGCAGGCTTAGTTGCTCTGCGGCATGTGGGATCTTCCCGGACCAGAGCTTGAACCGGTGTCCCCTGCATTGGCAGGTGGATTCTTAACCACTGCAGCACCGGGGAAGTCCTCAAAGTATAGTTCTGATCATATCCTTTTCTTCCTCAGAGTGCTTACAAATTAAGTACAACCTTCTTAAGGCACTTTGGGTTGTACAAAACAGAAACCTATTTGGGGTGACTTAGGTTAAGATGAGGAATTTATGATTTGAATACAGGACTATGACACAGGCCTCCAGAGCGGGGATACAGGAACAGGCTGAGCCATAAACAGGGACTGGCAAACTTCTTCTGTAAAAGGGCTACAGAGTAAATGTACTAGGCTTTGCAGGCCATATGGTTTCTGGCATTCTGCCAGAGACAATAGGAAAACTATTGTGTTCTAATAAAACTTTATTTACAAAACAGACAACCAACTGGATTTGACACACAGGCCAGAGTTTTAGGGCCCCTGGGCTAAAGCATTATCAGGATTCTCTGAAACATTTCCATCACCCTCCACGCCCCTGCTTTGTTGTTCTCTTCCTGTTGACTACCTTCCTCAGCTTCTCTGGTTCTCATGTTGGAACAGGGCTTCTGAAAGCACTGAGCTTCCAGGTCACAAGATGAAGTTCAAGCGTTCTCTCTCTCTATTAGTCCTAATTTTATTTTATTTATTTATTTATTTTCAAAATTTTATTTATTTATTTTTGGCTGTGTTGGGTCTTCATTTCTGTGCGAGGGCTTTCTCTAGTTGCGGCGAGCGGGGGCTACTCTTCATCGCGGTGCGCAGGCCTTTCACAGTCGTGGCCTCTCATGTTGCGGAGCACAGGCTCCAGACGCGCAGGCTCAGTAGTTGTGGAGCACGGGCCCAGTTGCTCCGCAGCATGCGGGATCTTCCCAGACCAGGGCTCGAACCCCTGTCCCCTGCATTGGCAGGTAGATACTCAACCACTGTGCCACCAGGGAAGCCCTAGTCCTAATTTTAAATCCTTAGGGAAGAGATGTTGCCTGGCCTTGCTTGGCTCAGACGCTCACCCCTCAACCTATCAGCTGTGGCCAGGGCTCTGGGTCTTGCTCTATGAACCAGGGGCGTGTTGGGAAACCACCCCTACAAGTTCTTGGATCAAAGCTGAGGAAGAGATTCCAGAAAAAGGCAGGGAGTTAGGCAGACAACCCAGTGACAGCCTCTTGCTGCATTCAACCAAAGCTGTATTTTCAGCATTGCCCCGTTAGGACCCTGATTTTCTTTCCTGAAGCAAAACGGACCCCTTGCTGTTCCTACAGACCCTGCATTTTCCATCCTGCATCCCTTCTATCTGCCAGCAGAAATTCTACTCACCTTTAAAGTCTCTTCTAGAAGGCCACCCTTTCCCTCGCTTTCCTTTATATCCATACAACACTCTACTGGTACAGTGTATCTCATTCTGTCGCTATTTCTGTACCTGACTTTTTGTTTTGCAGACAACAGGTGCTCTGCTGACTGAGGAAATGACTTATTCAGCTTTTCACCCACTCTGGTACCTGTTAGAGCACAGGCTCTGAGTTCTCATTTGTTGAGTTTAACCATATCCTCAAAGCTGAATAATTCCAAACCGAAGAAATTGAGACTTTTATAAAGTTGCATTTATACAGGAAATACGGTATCTACCTTTAAGAAAATTATTGTAAAAGTAATAAACATTCATTTACGCGTTTACGGTGGCCAAATTAAAGTAAATCTGCAGAGAGAGATTATCTACAGCCAGCAAAATTTATAGTTAAAATTGTTGAATAGTAAGAAGAAATAAAGTCCCATTAGCATTGTATCTTCTGTCACTGTACTAAATAAAAAATGGAATACTACAGACATGACTTCTGATAAATAGGGACGGTTATACACTTGAAATATTCAAAATCGCTCTAAAAAACAAATGCTCCAAAACGATTAGTATTTGTGCAAGAATTTTACCAAAGAGCCGGAGACCTCATCATCTAATTTCTTTGTTTCTAGAACTATTAATTAACATTGCTCCCAGAACTCTGCTAAAACTCCCCTGCTGAAAGGAAGAAAGTAAATACAGTACTGCAGGGAAAACGGGTTCATTTTCACGGAGCTGCGAGAGGCTTGCGCTTTCGTGAAACAGAAAACACTTGCTGAAGAACTATTCCTAAACTCTTAGCAACTACATAGAAGCTTTTCATTTTAACAGCATCCTCCTGGGAGACTGCGCTGGAATGTGCAGCAGGTCTGAAAAAGGCACAGATTTGGCTCAACTGTAAATATCAGGTGCACAGAGGCGAAGCCATTGTGTAGGGGAGGGGGTGGGGCGGGCGGGGTCCTGATTCCCGATGCTGATAGTACGATTCTAATTTCGCTTGGTATTTATTTTTTCTGCTACAATTACAGTTTTGCTAGAAAAATAAAATATTGGCTGTGCTCTCACCTGGGTTTCTACTTTTCAGCGTCTACCGAAAAAGAAAGCCTCTCATTTACCCCGCAAAGAATCACCTTTCCGCACCTCCAGAGCCGCTGGGAAAAGAGAGGAGCGCGCGTCCCCACCGCCCTTACCGTCCCCACTTCCCCGAGCGCCCGGCCCGCCCCACCCCGCCGGCCGCGAGTCGCTGGGGCTTGCTGGGCGGGCAGGAGACCCGGAGACGATGGGTCTCCGCGGCACCACTAAGTCTGTGGACGTTTCTGGGAGGGGATGCTCCACACCAGTAAACCACAACACTGAAACCCCAGCTCGGACTTTGAACCAAGCTCTTCCTGCCTAGTTTTCTTTTTGCCCCTTCGTCTCGCCAGGATCCTCGCCACCCCCGTCATAGCTTCTTCCCGGCCTCGGGTGGCCTTCCAGCCACCTGCGCTCGTCCGAGGAGGCGGTTGGTAAGAGCTCAGTCCACCGCCATCCCAGGGAGCTGCGGAGACTACAACTCCCATCACGCCCCGCAGCCGGCTCCCTCCCCTCCCCTCTGCCCCCCCCTCTACCTTGGCCGGCGGTTGGGAAGCTCTCAGCTTTTATCTGCAGACCGGGCGGGAGGGATACGGATCCCTGCGATCTTCCCAGACCCGAGCGCTGTGCCCGGCGGTGGCGGTGGCGGTGGCGGAGGCTCTCAGCCGAGTTCTGCCTTTGCGTCCGCGCCAGCCCGGAGCCTCCGGGGGCCGACGGTCAGTCCCGGCGCGGCGAGAGGATGGTCATCCGCGTGTTCATCGCCTCCTCCTCGGGCTTCGTGGCGGTGAGCACGTAGGGGACCGGCCGCGGGCCGGGTCTGCGTGGTAGGGGCAGCAGGGCGCCGATCCTGCGGGAGGCGCGCGGCGCTCGCCCCGGTGCGTCTCGGCGCGCTGCGCGTCCGGCGGCGGGAGCCGGCGCCCGGCAGGTGATCCATCATCCTCGGACAATGAATAGGGCGGGGAGCCAAGGTTGGTGGGGGACCCCGGACTCACCCACGTGCCCACCCTGCACGGCCTGAGAGGGAGACAGGAAAATGGAGTCGGCGGGAAGCCCCCAGCTCCAGTTGAGTGGCTCGGGGATTTGGGGACGGGTGGTCCGAGAGCTTCGGGGGTCCCGCTTCCCTTGGTGTCAGTTCTTGCCGATTTGGGACACTCAGCCCGGTTCTGTGTTGTACGGGAGCTTGTCAGGCTGCTTGGTTTGCTAACCTAGCTCCTGAATGGAACAAGTTTAAGTGGAACTTGCTCTCCACCCTCTGTGCCCCGCCACAAAGCACGTTTCTTCAGTTTTATACCTGCGCAGAGAGAACAGTAAACCAGGTTTGTCCTGTCGTGCCAGGGGTTTTTGTTTTGTCCTTTTTTTTTTTGGCCTCGGGTACTATAAATATTTTTACATCTATATGTAAAATGTGGTGCGTTTGGTTTCTTTTCTCCAGTAATGCTGTGCTCAGTTTCATCTTGGGGATATATAAATTGTGGTCTCTTTAATTATTTTAAGCTGTTTTGTGTGGTCGATATTCTTGAATTTTTTTTAAGGAAGAAGTTACATAGCTAAATGTCAGACTTTAGGGAAAAATTCCGTAATATACTTGATAGCCCACTGAATAAGACAGGTAGCAATATGTTCTACACGATTAGATTATTAAGATTTGGTTACCTTAGCTAAGAGTAAAACTCTAGATTTAAGAGGCTCTTTGGTGAGATACAGAATCAAATACATCAGAAAGTGCAATGCTGATAGCTTAAAATTTGGTCTGGCCAGTTGGTTGCAGGCCCAGCAACTCAACCATGTTTTCCCCAAATTTGTTTCTGAAGCAGGTGAGATGGAAGGAAGAAAATGTTGTTTGCGACACAACACTGAGGTTTTTTATTTAAAAAGGAATTACCCTACAATAGAAAAAAAGGCCCCCTTTTGCATTAGTTACAATAGATGGGAAATTCCAATTTATCTTTGTATGCAGGCATGCCCTGGTCTCCCACATTCCTGATAGTTTTGGTGTTTCTTGTTATTTGGGGCTGCTTAGTCATACCTGCCTTTTATAGATGTCTGCACTGAAGCTGCACTTCATGTGTTTGGAAACCCATACTGTTTCATGGATAGATTTTTTTCCAATTCACTTCTTCATAAGAGCGCTACAAAGCTTTTGGTTTCACCATCAACTTGCGTGCTGCGATGATTGTTGCAATAGCATTTTATTGATTGAAAAAGGGATGCTTTATGTATTAAGAAGCCTACGCTACCGATGTTGGACAAGTCAAACTTACGGTAATGACTTGGCTTATCCTGTAAGAAGGTCGTATATCAAGAGAGTTCTGGAACCCCACATCTCTGTTTCCTCAATTCCATTAACAAATATTTATTGCCTGCCTGCTATGTGCCTTTTTAACTTTTAAATTTAATGTTGGGTGTTTTGCACATGAAGCTAGACCTAAGAGACCCCAGTTTTGAGGAAGGCTCTGACGCGTGGTGTGAGTTTGGTTGAAGTACCTCACCTCTGCTGGAGTTTCTTGTCCATAGAATGAACGGTTGTGATGAATAACTCAGCATTGCACTCTAGCTTTAAAGTGCTTTGAATTAATTAGTTGGGTAAATGTGGATAAATCCTTATAATGACTTCTTTCACATTGACAATATACATGTTAGTATCAAAGTGAATTTATTCTTTTCCTCTGGTGTTTTACTGGGATGGCTCAGGTCCCCTCACTAACACACCCGGTAGTCTGTGTTCCAACAAGATACGGTTTCAGCTGGAAGACATACTCTGTTATCACATACCATATGTACAGCCCATAAATGCTAATTATGTATTTTAAAGTACCTGATCTTTTCGGGTCTCAGACAGCCCTCAGTCACTGAGTCCCTCCAATTGTAAATTTATCTCCTATATCAGTACAGAGTTTTTCTGTAATTAGGTAACATCAATACTTTGGGTGAGGGTAAGTTTATGCTTCTATGCAAGAATGGTGATTTCTAAGAGATAATGAAGTTGTTAAGGTCAGCTGTTGAGCAGAAGAGGCTCACTAGGGCTTATGGTATTATGCTGTATTGAGCTGTGAGGGCACAGCTGTGTTTTCCCTCCAGCGGTGTTGCATTGACCATTGGCTCTGTTTCATTCGGTGACCCACCATGACCAGCAAGTGCACGGGAGAATGAATAATGTGATTCCCAAGTCAGTTTGGTTTTAGCTGGAGTGGATTAAACCACAAGGAAGGAATGTGACTAGAAGTAGACGTGGCCAAGTAAGTCCCAGGAATTTCCAAAAAAGATGCTCTGCCCCAGTCAACAATAGATTTAAAGAATCTATCTGGGGAAAACTCTCATATCTTGTTCTGATTTGCCTGAACTCTGCAGCTTCAACACCTAACAGTGGTAGTTAGAATAGAAGGGGTGATTGCCCTTTTCTCTTCCCCAGCTCCAAGTAAAATCAGCTTTTATAGGAAATAAAAGCAATGCCACATTATTATGCTATGGCTACTTGAAAATCAGATTTCTTATGCAGCTAATCATGCCGCTGTCATTCATATCATAGAGAAGGGCACTTTATTTCAGTCCTAAGAAAATAGTGTAGTCATAGAAGTGCCGTTTTAAAATCTAATTTATTCTGGTTGTATACCCAGAAGGGGAGGTCTTGGTAACTTTATCCAGGAAATGTATTGATATGACTTTTTAATGTAAAAACATTGAAATCAGTCGATTATTTCATTCGTTCATTATTTTATTCGCTCAGCAAGCATTTTCTAAGGGTCTGCTGCTTGCCTAGCCCTGTCCTTGGTCTTGTGGGAATTGGAGGAGAGCAGAGGGTGTGGTTTCTGTCCTCCAGGAATTCAGGTGGGGATCAGGTGGGAAGATAAGATAGGAAAAGTGAAACCACCAGTAATAAAGTACAACCCAAGGACACATGCCTCTTTCAGGAACATTCTTTACCAGAGATAGAAATTATATAGGCGGTGGAGGGATGCATTGCAGGATGTCAGATAAGGAGGAAATGTGCCAGAAATCATAAAATATGCATGTGGGAGCCTCAGGCAGATGGCAGAGAGAGGGATTGAGTTGGATTTGGAGCCCGGGAGAGAGTGCCTGAGCCCATCTTGTTCAGGCTGGAAAGGGAAGAACCTTAGGTGGGAGGGGACAGGCACCTGGGGTCCCTGTGGACCTTTTGAGTACGGAGTAGACTCTGAGTCCTTGAAAGCAGCCGGTGATAACAAACTCCACAGTACTCAACACCTCAGAGATGTCTTCAGGATCTGCAGCTGGCGTGCTCTCTGGAGCCTTTTGTCCCCAGGGAACAAGGTGCTGTCTGACAGGGAGAGACCCCTGGTATGTGATTTCAGGAGAATCTTTACCATCCTGCTTGCCTTGACTAAAATTTCTCAAAAAGGAAGTAAAGTTTGTCACTCTTTGTGAGAAGTTCTTGGGCTCAGTTGTGAGAGCTGGAAGAATACCGAAAGAAATTTTCTAGTGAAGTCCAACCACCTCATTTCACAGAGAAGGAAATTTGGGCCTAGAGATTAAATGACTTCCCCTGAGGTCATTAATGGCAGTCAATGCAGAGCTGAGGGTTAAGTGGAGGCCAGGTCTCCTGACTACTGAATGTATCCCTTTGTACGTTCATTCAGCCCTACATTCATTCATGCCTTGATTGATTCATGCTCTTATCAATCATTGAAAACCTGTGAAGTACCAGGCTCTCTGTTAGGTGCTGTTAGGTGTATGATGGTCAGCAGAACAGGCACACACTCTGCCTTCATGGCGTAAATCAGTGAGGACACTCCACAGCCCAAAGACTTGGGCTGCAAACCATTTCATCAAGGAGAATGAAGGGCTGATGCTGGCTTGGGGGATGTTTCCACGGGACAAGGGGAAATGAGCTAGACAGAAGTAGTATATCCTTGGATGTTGGAGGGGACCGTCACCGGGAGGAAAATGTACAAAGAAAGCAGAGGTGGAAGCAGAGTTGGAAGACATGGACCTTTATCCACGGCTGCAACTGTGTTTTCAGGTGGGTGTGGGAGCGGAGGGGAAACATGTAGAAACTGTGCTCAGAGTTGTCACACTCGTTTTTAGCTGTAGAAAGGCGTGCCCATGCTTTGCTTTGTGTGACGTATGACTGCTGTAAACATGCAATGGTCAGATCCATGATAATGATCAAAATGCATTGTGAAGCTTCGTTTGTATAAGGGAGCTTCTGAAAGGAGCTCCAAGGTGGTTAAAGTCAGGATGTGACCATATAAAACAGAGTGAGCATCAATTCCTCAGTGATTCTAATGCCAAAAAAAGCTAGTGAGGGTAAGCCTGGGCTTGCTAGGATCTTTAACTCAGTCCTGAGTCACATGGCAAGGTTTATTCCCATTTTACAGATGGAGAGACTGAAGTTAATTGAGATGATACACAGTAGATGGTGGGACCCTGAGTCAAAGTCTGGCAGGCAGGTGGCTCCAAAGCTTCTAGAGCAAAATTTCTCCACTATGGGCCCTTGGCGGAATGAAAGTACCGGGGGTGTTCCACATCCTGCAGTGTGCTGGACAATCCCCTGTAAGAGCTGCCCGATGCAAAATGCCAGTGGTACCCCTGACAAGAAACAGCGCCGAAGGGCATTGGCAGGGGAGGGGAGGGAGTGAGTTTAGGGAAGTGGCAGGAGCATTATAAGAAATAATTAGGAGAGACAGGAATAAGTTGGGAGTGCAAGGACAAAGTTGTAAGGGAACGTCAGGCTGGGAAGGCTTGTGTATTGGTTTTCTAGGGCTGTAACACAGTACCGAGAACTGTGGGGCTTAAACAACAGAAATT